AATCCCTCCTGAATGTAAACATGGTGTCTTTTAGTTGCAGAAGGTTTTAGTGTTAGATGAAGCTTAGAGGTCAGGAGCTCCTTTTGAAAAGGGGGAGATGGTAGTGGTGAAGTCTGGAGCAAGATTCGTCTACTGGATTTCTTCTTCAGAGTCTTCATGTAGAAAAACTTGAGCAGCCTTACAACCAGCCATTTTAGGAGAAATAGTAGCATTTGTTTCTGTTGGTCTTTTGGTAAGCTGAATAGCTACAACACTGTGTCTAGTACAGATGAGAACATTTTTGGAATTAATTTGTATTTGGGACTGAGAACTAGTCTGGTAAAAACCTGCTGTGACTTCACACAGGCTGGCACCAAGAAGAACAGAACCAGCACATCCCAGTCAGTTCCGTGTTCTGATACAAATCCTTCTCTTTCAACTCGAGACATATGTTTTATAAATATTACTTGACATTGATCATTTATATGAAATGAAAGCTAGGGTAAGAGATTACATATCAAGAAAGAAACTTGAGGATTTTCATTGACCACTGGTTTTGAAATAATAAAAGGAAACTCAATCATTGCCCCAAGCTGATTATTGCTTTGGCCTTAGTTTGTGTTTTTAATGCTTTTTTATTGTTATAATGTGCGTGTATTCATTATATGTTGGTGTTTTTAATGCTTTTTATTAAGTTATAATGTACGTATTCACTATATGTTGGTGTTTATGGAATCGGAAGGATAAGAGGGCAAGGAGAATTACCCTGAATTACAAGCTCTATCGGGTCATTTAAGATTACCTTTTTTCCCCTGTAGTCCCTTTGCACAGATGTGTGACAATTGCGGCAGTCTTTTGATTGAATCAAATCTTTTGATTGATTTGAACCAAAGAGGAGGCTATGTAAACACAGCCTGAACAAATTAGGTGTTTATTCCTGAGCTCAGCAAATACGTTATGCAGAATAAGGAGTTGATTCTGAGAAGAATTCAGTATTATTTAAAAGCCCACAGAGTGGTTAAAATCGGTCAGCCTCTGAGTTGCTCTAGAATGAAATGCTTCATGTATAGCTCCAGCAGAAATGAGGTTAATCTTAAACCAAGTTGGGGTAAAGAATGGATTTTAATCCACAGTTAAGTGACATGATACCCACACTCCACTCTTTCTAGCTCACTGCTGCCATCAGTGTGACTGTCACCAAGTGTATCAATGGTGTAACTGTTCAGAGCATAGCAGGGCAGAGAAAATATTTGATTAAAAAAACATTACATGAAATATTAGAAATAACTGCCACAGGATTAGTACACCTAGCTGATGGGTATATTTGAAATGGAGAGTAGATATAGGATACTGGATAAGTAACCTGTAGTCATTCAATGACTTTAGCCATGGTCTGCATTAAGGGAATACAAAGATAAAGTGCAGAAGAAAGTGAATTTATGTAGATGATCAGAAAAAGAGGGGGAACTTTTTTTTTTTTAAGATTTTTTATTTATTTATTTGAGAGAGAGAGAATGAGAGAGAGCACATGAGAGGGGGGAGGGTCAGAGGGAGAAGCAGACTCCCTGCCGAGCAGGGAGCCC